TTTTAAAATACGGGGTATTACATCTTGGTGCATGTGTTGCCAACTTTGGCAACATATTACTATTGGTTGTTGCTTAAAGTAGCAAGTATTAATGTTGGTTCCTAAAAATAGCAACAAATTATTATATTGGCTCCTAAAAATAGCAACAAATTATTAATGTTGGTTCCTAAAAATAGCAATAAATTATTATAGTTGGTTCATAAAAAATAACAACAAATCATTAAAGTTGGTTCATAAAATAGCAACAAATCATTAATATTGGATGCTATCAACACTACGAGACAAAAACCCAATCCCTATTAGCTATTCGGTTCAACTCGATCCCTTTACCAATCCGAAACCTCACTAGGGTCAATTCGGCTTGGATTTGCTTGTAAGGCTCTTTGAATCCCCGGTCTCAAGTGTCGCAGTTGGTATGAGTCGAACCCGTGACCTCAAAGTCACATGGTGAAACTCTTACCAACTATACCAAGTACTATTTGTTTACTTCAATGCACACAATTGATAATAAGTGAACGAACTATTAGAGACAAAATTGAAAAATTTGTCTCTAAATTAGGGATGAAATCGAAAATCTGTCTTTCAATTAGAGACGAAATTGAAATCCGTCTCTATTTGATGTCATTATAGCAACAAATAATAAGAAGAGTGTCTCCAAATAATATTATACTTAATAGCAAAAAGTGGTCTACATTTAAATTAACAATAAACTGTAACACAACTTGTTTCCAATGGCAACAAATAAAAATTTTGTTGTCATTAACTGACAATGGTTGTAATGCCCCGTATTTTTGAAACATATTTTCTAATTAATTAATTAATTATTATTTTCTAAAAAGGGAATTTTAGTAATTTATTTTACTATTTGAATTTCGGAGCCAAAATAATATTTGAATTTTGGCGCCAAAAGTATTTTAAAACCTAATTATTATTTTTGGATTTATTTCATTTTTAAAAACCAAATTATTTATATATATTTCGGATATTTTAATTAAAAAAATTATATTTTATTATTTAATTGAGAGGTCTGAAAATTCCTATTGATTGGCTATGATTTTCAGTTTTTCTTATTGTGGAAAATCTAATTTTCTTAGCTAAATTATTTAGTGAATAATTGGTTCTATTAATTAATTATTTTATACAAAATATATTATTTACAAAATTATTTTTAATCCCTTAAATCTAGCAAAATATCCCTAAATAATACATAAGGTGTCTGAAATTTTGAGCTATGGAAGTCAAAAATTTCGGCTACCAAGGTTGGATTTTGGTTGAATTATATTGGTAAATTGTATTTTTAATTATCTCCTTTAAATCTATTACTTTCCTTAATTTTTATTTCCCAGCTTCTAAATATTTGATCATCTTATTTCCCGATCTTATTTCATCCTTGATTATTCCCCAAGTAAACCCTTTTTGCCATATTATTTTTCATGACAACATAGTTTCCTTAATTTTATTATTTTTGGTCACCTTAATATTAAACTTTCAATAATTCTTTAATTCTCTTCCCCAAGTAGTTCCTTAATTCTTTTTTTACCATAATTCTTCCTACATTCTCCTACCATAATTCATACATGAGCTAGCCTATAAATACCCATTGATTCATGGCTAAACACTCACACCAAATTCTCTAATTCTCTCTTAATTTCTCTTTTCTCTTTCTCTTTTGTTCTTGCGCCAATCACCACCACAAAACACCACAACCACCACCGATCACCACCCTCAGCGACCTACCACCACCGGCTGCCACCAGCCGCAGCTGCCACCTCCCCTTGCGCCACCTTTCTTCCTCTTTTTCCTTGGTTTTCTACCTCTTCTTCTTCTCTTCTCTTATTTAATTATTATTATTTTTATGGGGGATTTATAAAAATTATTATGAGTAGTTTTAATTAAATAAAATCAGATTTTAATTCATGTTTATGAAAAATAAATTATAAGGTTCATGTACATATAGTTGGGGGTTTTAATTTAATTGTTGTGATTATTTGTTAACCTTATATTAATTAAGGTTATATTTATTTGTAGGGTGTACTGTTGATATACGTGTTTTATACAATGGTTTTCCCCGGTTTTACTTAGTAATTTTATATGGTTTTGAGCTCTACGGAGCCATTTCTTGCTAACAATCTCTTCTTTAGTGTATTCGATTGTTTTAGTAAGCTTTTCAGGAATATGAAGCGTTTCTAGGCAATTGGACGTGTTTTTAGTAGATTCGGAAGAGTTGATAGCCAAGAACTGCAATTTATGTGGAGTGCCCGACCGGGCATGGCTTGCCCGGGCAGACCGGGCAATGAAGAGTTCACAGGAAGAAGCCCAATTCTGAACGGTGCAACGCGCGCCCGATCGGGCAGGCTTCGCCCGGTCAGACCGGGCGATGAAGAAGTCAAGTTATGAAGATGCAATTCTGGAAACGTGTTACGCGCGCCCGACCGGGCGAGGTTCGCCCGGTCTGACCGGGCAAAGAAGGAAAACTGTCGTATTTTACGCAGCCTTCCTCCGCCCGATCGGGCGAGGTTTGCCCGGTCTGACCGGGCGATGTTCAAGATTGCGCGATTTCAGCTATTTCCGAATTTCTATCTTTTGAGGGTATAAATACCCTTTTGTAATTAACTTTTAAAAGGGGAGTTTTTCATTAGTTTTTCTCCTTAAGCCCTAGAAAACTCTCAAGAACCCTAGTTTTATTTCCTTTAAGCAATTTCAATCTTTTAATCCCAGATTAATCAATTGTTCATCAACAATTTGAGTTCTTTCAATTGGAGTAATTGGTATTTATCTTACTTCACTCTTTTCTGATATTCGCTGTTCTCTAAATATGTTTTCTTTACTGTTTCTTGTTTTTGAACTTGATTTTGATTTTATTATGATGTGTGAGTAGTTTCCTTAATCCGGGATCTTGCTAAGCTCGATTATGATTGATGTATAAAGTAAATCTTTAAATTCCCCAATAATAATCCCAATTGACATGCTTAATTGATTGTGTTTATGCCAATACTAGATTAGGAATAATTAGTATTGTTATCATCCCTTTGTTCTTATTGCAACGGAAGTTGGGTATTAACGGGATTAGGTTATTCCAATTAAGGGTTTGAAGATCATCACGGAAGTAGATGATTGAATAATTAGGAATCTAGGCATGGTGTTTAATGTCCCTTATTCGCTTGATTCCACGGAAGTAGGCTTGATAGTTAATTTGGGAAGCCATTGATAACTTGGAAGAGACCTTTGGTATTATTATTAGGGATTGCTTTTCTTCTTGTCAATTGATTTATATATTGGGGGTAGATTTATTAGTTTATCAATCATAATCGTGGTAATGCTTGATCTTGGATGCTTTAGTTTATTGATTAATATTTCCTCTAGTTAATTGTGTTATTTAATATATTAGTTGATTATTATCATCCATTATTGATTGGTGACGTGCTTAGTGATTAATTGAGTCTGATTAATTGAATGAACCATAGTCTCTTGGGATTCGATCCTTACTTGCCCTACTACACAGTTAGAAGGAATAGTTAGGTTATTTTTGTTAGGTACGCGATAAGCCTATCAACTGTGTTCAATCAAAGTTCTTGAAGTTTCTTTTTGTGTTGCTAGCAAGGATCAAAAGTACAAGTTTAGGTGGCTAGATACCTTTGAAATTGATTGGATTGAATAAGCATGTTTTACATGATTTTTATGAAGATTAAATTAAATTGAATTGAATTATGATTTATGAAATAAAGCACGTTTAAAAAAAATGGTTTTGATAAGTAAATTGGAGGATTGATTTTATATCATGTTTTAAATGGTTCGAAATTATTATGTTTAAAGGAGTTTGGATTTTAAAAGTATGTTGGATTGTTTTAAAAGAGTTTTTGAAAAAAAAAGGTTTGATTTAGAAAGCAAATAAAAGGAATTTTGAATTATGTTGGAATTTTGAAATTGGAAAAGGATTTATTGAATTTTTATTATTAAAGCTTTACAAGCATGTTGATAGTAATCCCACTATGCGAATTTGGTAGATAAGACTTTGGACTTTGTATGACCGAGTCTTTCCTCAAGAATAGCCTTGAAATAGTAGGAGACTAACTTGAGGGGTGTGCACACTTGGGTGAGGAATTGGTTTTAAAAAGAGGAATTGGTTTTATAAATTGTTTTTATTGAACTGTTGAGTTATTGGAATTGTTTTGAGAATCTTGAGAATTGGTTTTGAAACTATGAGTTTTGGAATTATTGGATTAACTTTGGAATTAGTTTTTAAAAGCATGTTTGCAAATAAATTGAATTTACTCCGTATTTCCTATTTGTTTTGGTTCGCCCTGTTTACCTTAATGGTAAGCAGTGCTGACTATTTTCAGGTGGAGTCAATATTTGAGTATATTAGAGTCCCGGGATGTTCTTCACCTAGATTAGGAATGTTGGTCTTTGCACTAGTAGAAAAAATGAAATAGGCACCCCCCTTTAGTACCGGTTCGTGAAAACCGGTGCCAAAAGAAATGGGCGGGATTGAAAAATTCAGTGTTGGCATCGGTTCCAACCAAAACCGGTGCCAATCATTTAATTAGCACCGGTTCAAACCGGTGCCAACTTATAAAAAAAAAAGTATGGCATAGAGTTGGCACCGGTTCGCCTTAAACCGATGCCAACTATGTTAATTAGCACCGGTTTAAACCGGTGCCATTTTTGAAAAAAAAAACCGGGTCTTCTTCGTTTTCATTTCATTTCCCATACTCTTTCTTTCTCTTGCTTTCATTTCCTCGAACTTTCCTCTTCTCATCTGATCTGCCTCTCTCTCTCCTCCATTGAAGCGTACTCGAATTTCTCCATTGAAAGGGCTTCTGAGCTTTCTCTCAGCACTTTCCTAACACTCCTTCTCTCTCTTTCGATCTCCTTCTCCATAACCGCCACTTTCCCTTTCCCTTTCCTTTCTTCTCTCTTTCGATCTCCTTCTCCTTCTCCTTCTCTCTTTCTACAATATTGGAGGTTAGGGTTTCTGGGTGTGTCTATTTTGAATCAATTCGATGTGCGTGCGTCTTCAACAACAACAAATTCGAATCAATTTCGAACCAAAAATCAGAAATTCGAGGTTAGGGTTTCTGGGTTATTTAGCTTTGCGTTATATTGTAGCAGTTCTGAGCTTTCTCCTCCATTGAAACAACTTCTAAGGTAATGTTTTTTTATCAATGAAGTTTTTTAATCAATGAATATCAATTTCGCTAATTATTTGTGTTAGTTCTAATTTCCTTAATTTCTGTTGAGAAAATGCTAAAAAAGTTGTAATAACTTAATTGGGTCTTTTTTTGTTTTTGTTTTGTGGGTTGTTTATGGTAGGCAAAAAGAGTTGGATATGTTGATGAAGGTTAAGGAAGTAAAAGGGTGTGTAGGGAAGGGGAGTGATAATGATGATGATGGTGTTGATGGGTCAATCGATAGTTCAAAAATTGATGACTTTTGTAGGTTTTTTGAGGATAATAGGATTGATTTGGGTGCCCAAGAGCTGATTTTAATAGAGGCTGCAAATGGGTTGATGTCAAAATTGCGGTTTCTGCTTGAACCTCTCAAGTTTGTTACTGATGATGGGACCCCATGGGAGGAGAAATTTGTTGTTGTTAGATTGAGTGACAAAATTAACAAGTCAAAACGCAATAAGTTGTGGAGGAAGAGGAAGAGACGCCGTGTTGCTGAATCACTTGCTAAGGTTGTATTCTATTGCTAATATCAGGCTATATACCTGAATTACAAGTTTTGGAGTATGTTTATGTTAACTGATTTTCTTAATGGTTCACAGGAGGAGGAGCAATTCAAGAAACTTGACCGAGAAGCTGATGAATGGAGGGCTAAAGAAATTGCCAAATGTTTGGGGTAAAAATACCCCAGACACGTGGCCCATTGGTCAAGCGACACGTGGCACCCAGCCATTGGTCAGCAGGGCTCCAATCCCTTGCTGACACGTGTCCAGTGAACCCTAAATGGGGAACCAAGGCTCCCCACTATAAATAGTGGAGAGACCCTCATTAATAGGGCATTCAATTTCATCCATAAATACATACACCAATCCCGAGCAATATTAATTGCAGAATTCTCCCATTACGTGAGAAGTAATTTCACTATTTACGCACACTTTTCCTCCTGTACGTTACTGACTTGATTGTCGGAGGCGGAGCTCCAACCAACCGGAGACTTCGTGGTTTTGCAGGTACAAGCGTTGAAGGGCATTCTCGGAATTGTAACTCTCCCGCAGGTTATATCAAAAAACCCCGAAACATTTGGCGCCGTTTGTGGGGAGAGTACTTCTGAGATGACTTCTAACCCTGTACCACCGGATCAGGACAAGCGGTCGTTGGTCGAGCCTGAGGTCCAGACGGACCATGAAAGTGGTGATGACTATGAAGTCAACACCTATGTGGCCCCAGACGGGTCCTTCAGAACAAAACACACCCGTTCCGATAAGAAGGAACGGGAAAACAACCAAGCTGCTCCAGACAACCCAGCCGACAACCCGGTTGGAGCTGTACAAGCGGCAGAGGGCTCTGCTCCCGTCACTAGGAACGAACTCATGACCTTCATGAATAGTTTCAAGGGCGATATCAAGAACCTTATTCGGTCAGCTACTCCCAAAAAGAGTCAGCCGACCAAGAAGCCTTCCTCTAGGAAGAAGATGATCAAAGACCGGGTCCCTACCCCTCATCCAAAGCCAAAGGAGGGGAGGGCCTCAAGTTTGATCAAAACAGGCTCCACTTCCCTCAAGCGGAGCTCAGAAAACCCATCCGACACTTACAGCCCGATGGTTCCAAAAAGACTTTCTCTGATGCCCGGATGTTCCTCTAGGAAAAGAGAAGTCAAGCGTCTGCGTCGGCCTCAACTTCGACCTTCCCAGAAATTTTCCGTGACACCTCTAACAGGCGTACGGGAACAAGCCTAGGGAGTCAGACGGGCGAACCCTCCGCCCGTTCTGGATCCAAAGTGATCCAGCCTGGTCTATTTGGTTCACCAACTGGACTGGGTGGATCCCCTTTCACCCAACCGGGTCTCTTTTGCGGGCATGTGCAGCAGTCGTACCAGCCCATGGACTGGCAGCTGCGCCTGCTAAACCTGGGAGAACAGCCCACAACGTTCTCTTCGAGACAACCCAGGCGGCACAACTAGCTAAGGTTAAAAACGTGTTGGTAGGGGCCTATGATGGTACCACCAACCCAGAGGACCACCTAATGGCGTACTCTAACCTTATGTACCTACAGGGGTTGGATGATGTCGTCTGGTGCAGGTGCTTCCCGGCTACCCTAAAGGGCATTGCCCAACGGTGGTTTGGTAATCTACCAGCCAGCTGCATCAACAATTTCAAAACTTTGGCGTACTTATTTACGTCAAATTTTTCAATGAATATCCTTGCCAAAAAGACTAGCCTCAACCTAGAGGCAATACAGCAGGGTGAAAGAGAAGGGCTCCGGTCCTACGTCAGACGGTTCAATTTGATGAGAATTCATATTCAAGGACTGTCTGACGAAGTTGCTTACATAAACTTCTTTAAGGGTCTGAAGGATGGGTCGACCTTCAAGTTCGACCTCGTCCGGAAAAGGGTAGCCTCCCTTCAAGAGGCGTTAATGGAAGCTGAAGCCTATATACAGGCGATAGAGCTCTGCAATGTAAAGCAGCCGCCGGATTCCAAAAAAATCCGACAGAAAAGATAGCCGGCAACAGCAACAGTCGGCGAAAAAGGAAGAAAAGAAGAGAAAAGAGGTCTGGGCGGCAGACCGACCTGGTCAGCCGGCTCAGAAGCTTAGACGGAAATCTGAACCGTACGTTCCCAGGTACGAGTTCACAAAGGACTGCTCCTCCATCCTCATGGAAATCAAAGACCGGATGTCTCTCGAGAAACTGGCTGCGATGAAAAGTCCCGTAAGCAACCGGGACAAGAGCAAATACTGCCAATACCATGAGGATGTCGGCCACGACACTAATGGTTTCTATAGCCTCAGGCGGCTATTAGACCGTCTGGCTGATGAGGGGGCTCTGAAGTCCTATCTGTCCAAAGCCAAGAGAAACACCCAGGCAAAGAAGAGGCAGACTATCTTCACCATAGCAGGCGGTTTTGCCGGAGGGGATCCCACCATTAGGGGCACCAAAGATAACATCAGGAAGCTGGTCAACTCAGTGGATGAGGGCCAGGCGTCGAAAGACACCTTTCCTGAGGTCCTTATTTCTGAGAAGGACCGAGGCAAGGTCAGGCGGCCTCACGATGATCCCATAGTCATCGAATGTAAAGTTGCCAATCAGAGGGTTGGCCGGATCCTAATAGATACCGGGAGCTCGTCTGACCTGATCAGCTATCAGTGCTTGGCCAAGCTCAAGTACAAACCCAGTAACATGCACCAGGCGCCTCACCCACTAGTTGGTTTTGGGGGAGGGGTAGTGCATCCGGTAGGAAGCATAAATCTTCCCATCCGGCTGGGTGAAAAGGGGGAAGGACGCCACATGGTGGTAAAGTTCTTAGTTGTAGAGGAGCTGGCCGCCTACAACATGATCTTTGGCCGTCCGACCCTCAACGAATCTAAGGCTGTTATCGTCCCCTCGCTCATGCTCGTAAAATTTGAAAAAGATGATAGTACAGTCGGTTCCCTGAAAGGGGACCAGAGGACGGCTAGGGAGTGCTATCTCTCTGACGTCAAACCAACTACGGGGGCAGCCGGTGACGGTAAGCCCATAGACATTGATAACTGCGATACAGCAGACCCGGCTCCAAGGGCATCCGGTAAGAAAAGAAAGGCGGACATAATGGAACCCGTCAAACAAGAAAAATAGCAATCACTAGCCGGGGAAAGGTCAGATGACCAATGACCTCAGCCGGCTGGTGACTGCCTCGATGTCGTCCTAGACGACAGCCGCCCTGACAAAACCGTTAAGATTGGGACGGTTGCTTTTTGAACGGTTGGGAGCAGACTTGCTTCAACTTCTGAAGGAATTCAAAGACATTTTTTCCTTTGAAGTGGAAGATATGCCAGACGTCAGCCCGGATCTAGCCGTCCACAAGCTCGTTCTGGACCCTAAAAAGAAGTCGGTCAGGCAGAAAAAGAGGGATCACGGTGAAGAAAGATCTCAGGCGGTAGCGGCTGAGGTCAAAAAGTTGTTAGATGCTGGGTTCATCCGGCAATGCTACTACCCGGATTGGGTAGCAAACGTTGTCCTTGTGAAAAAGCCGAATGGTACCTGGCGGATATGTATAGACTACACAGATCTGAACAGAGCATGTCCCAAGGACAGTTACCCGCTTCCAAAGATCGACAATCTGGTCGATTCAACAGCCGGTCATGCTCTGATAAGTTTCATGGATGCCTATTCAGGTTTCCATCAAATACCCCTGTGGAAAAAAGATCAAGAAAGAACGGCCTTCGTCACTGATCAGGGGTTATTTTGTTACAAGGTGATGCCGTTTGGGTTAAAGAATGCACCGGCTACATTCAGCGCATGATAAACACAGTTTTCATCAACCAGATTGGCAGGATTTTAGAGGCGTATATTGATGACATGATAGTCAAATCCAAGCTACAGACGGATCACCTACTGGACCTCCGAGAAACATTCTCCACACTCAGGCGGCACCGGGTCATGCTCAACCCAAAGAAGTGTGTATTTGGTGTTGAGTCTGGGAAGTTCCTCGGATTTTTGATCGACCAAAGGGGCATAGAGGCTAATCCGGAAAAAGTACAGGCGATCATTGACATGCGCTCTCCCCGCACTGTAAAAAAGGTCCAGAAATTGACCGGTTGCCTGGCGGCGTTGGGAAGGTTTCTCAGCCGGTCAGGCGACAAGTGCCTCTATTTCTTCCAGGCCATCCGGAAGAGGTCCAGATTTGAGTGGGGAGAAGAGGCGGAAGTGGCATTTCAGAGGCTAAAAGCAACACTTGCACTCTTTGCCAAGGCTAGTGAGCCCCCTACCCCAGGAGGTTCTCTACATGTACCTAGCCGTCTCCGATCATTCCCTCAGCGCCGTCCTCCTTGCTGAGAGAGACGGTAACCAGCTCCCGGTGTATTTCATCAGCCATGTTCTTAAAAATGCTGAACTCCGGTACCTTATGATCGAAAAATTTGGGTTGGCGCTGTTCGTAGCAGTCAAGCGGTTGAAGCCTTATTTTTTGGCTCACCCGGTGGTTGTATATACAGACCAGCCGCTCAAACGCCCAATGACCACCATCGAGTCATCCGGTAGAATGATCAAGTGGGCTGTTGAAATACAAAGCCTTGAGATAACTTTTGAACCCAGGAGGGCAGTGAAAGGTCAGGCGTTTGCCGACTTCATTGTCGAGATGACTAGACCGGTGCAACCGGAAAATCCTGATCAGGTTTGGAAGTTATTTGTAGACGGTAGTTCTATAGTGAACGACTGTGGTGCAGGCGTTATATGCCATTATCTGGAAGGGGATAAGTTTTGAATATGCACTACGGTTCAAGTTCCAAGCCTCAAATAATGAGGCAGAGTATGAAGCCCTGCTAGCCGGTATACGTATGTGTAAGGCGGCAGGGGGAAGAAAAGTTAGCGTCTGCTCAGACTCTCAGTTGATTGTTAGCCAGTACCATGGTGACTACGAAGCCACCCATCCGGCTATGATCAAATATTTGCAGGCGGTCAGAGAAGAGGCCGGGTCCTTGACGAATTTTCATCTAAGTCAGGTGCCCCGGTCCGAGAATAATCAGGCGGATGCCCTTTCCAAATTGGCATCATTCGCCTCATGTGATGCACCTAGGACAGCCTTTTGGGAAGTCATTCAGAAAAGAAGCATTGATCATGACCCCATTGGGATTCTAGACCGAAGTGCCACCTGGGCGGACCCCATCCGGGCTTACTTGACAGACGGTACTTTGCTGGATGTCC